TTTAATACTTAAGTATAAAAAATATCAGATACTTTAAGACTTTTACTCAAGTAATATTCCTAAAGGAGACTTTAACTTTTGTCAAAGTAATTTTTTGGTAAGCTACTTGTACTTTTACTCAAGTATCACTTTGTGGTACTTTATACAACACTGGTCATCTGCAATGTGATTTCCCGTATACCTAGCCGAGCATGAGTGCAGGAGGGGGCTCAGGACACATCCTTGTGGTGTGCCAGTCAGTTGTGTATTAATGGGTTCAGTCCGAACAAGAGCAGTTCATTGACTAGCATCTTTGGAATGACGTGATAAACACAAAACTGAAATCCAAAAAGAGCAAGTCTGACACAAGTCCCGAGTCTCCAGGAGAGAGCAGGGCGGGTGGCCATGGGTCAGGTACAGACCAGTTCCTCCTGTATGCATATTGCTTGGGGTCCACACTGATGTTAACCAAGTACTTTATGTGAGCCAAATGGGGACTGGGACAATAGTGGACATTTTACAGTCACAATGRTKGACTTAACTCTTTATTTTGTTTATYTTTCTTAMTTTAAAMAKAAGAAATCGCGTCACACAGACAAGCCTTCRATCATTAAAAGGAATGCCATGCATGAGTACATGAAAGAAGAAATACGCCTTCGTATTGAAAAACCTGAACAACCTGATTGATTGAAGACTTTCACAAAACAGAGATGGGAGGATAAGGAAAGGAGGTGAAACGAATACAGCATTTTTACCTTAGTTTTATGGCCTTGGGGTGAAGGATGTGGAATCAACGAGATAAAGAATTGGAGTTTATGTTTTGCTTTTAATAACAGCTACATGATGACGTATCGCCCTTGGAATCACCCTGATAACGTACGGACACGTGCAGATTTCATTAAATTAYCACATGCTGTGACCTTCATTGGGGGCTGGGTGGTGGCGTTTTGAGGGGGAGCAAGGTTCACGCTGTTCTGAGGAATCCCATCGACTTGAAACCCCACTAAAGAGGAGGGGGACTCCAGAGCCCACCCACAACCAGGAAATGAACAAAGACCCCAGTTTGTTCCTCAAAGCTGCGTGAAACTCAAACACTTACAGTCCTGTTGGTTTTTACATTCAAGCATCCCTCGCTCTCATACAGCCACATACTATACTCTCTCTATATTTAGAATATCCACACAGAAATCCTTTGAGTTGAMTTTTTCCAATACCTGATTTTTCACAATAAAAGATGATAAACTCCAAATATAAAGCCTCTTTAAGACTGAAATGTTTAGACAGAAAATATATGGTTTCAAAGCCTAAAACGAACCCAACTCTAGCTGACAAAAGAATCCAAAGATTTTTTTTTTTTTTTGGTCATGAATATGGAAGAAAACGAAGTTCTTTGACCACTAGCACCACATTCTACTCACTAGACCTGTAATTCACCTAGAGCTTAGCTTTTATCTTCTTCATCGCTACAGTCTCTGATATCCCAACTAAAAGTGGACAAAGTTTCAAAAAATTTACAAAACTTGCGTGAAATATTAAACAAACAACAGTCTTACGTCAAATTTTCTTATCATTTAGCCAACGAAATAAAAATTAGACGTATGTTTTTGTTCCTGGCATCAATAAAAAAAGCTGACAGGGTGCTTTCTCAGAGCATAACGCAGCTCTGTTTTATTCAGTGTTGGGGTTTGCTGGAAACTGTAGCCTCAGGTGCTGATTAAAAGCAGCCGCACTCACATCATGAACCCTCTCAGAAAAGGTAAATGCAAGTTTTAACTCGTTTACGGTCAGACGGTGTTGGTGTGCTGTTCTCAGAGGAGGAGGAGGAGCCGCCACCAGCTGTGCAGATCAGGCTGATTCAGACTCTTTGGTGTCTGATCGCAGTCGTCTGAGCCAGATGTTTTTACACTCAGTGAACCCTGCTCTTCACACATGTGCACGCACGCACACACAGCAGCCTCACTCTTTCCATCTCACACACACTYGTCTTGGCTGCGGTGATAGAAGACACACCGAGTTATATAACGGACTTTTAAATGCAAAGTTCAGGTTACAGAGAGGAAACGCTGTGTGATATCTCTCTCTTTTATTAGTCTCCTCCCATCTAATTTTATTACCATTCTGTAAACATTAGATACACGGTAACTTAAGTTGTTTCCTGATGTCCTGATAAAAACAGGAGCATCTGTTATAAGAAAATATATATGAAACTGTTTTCTTATACACTGCACAATAACAAACCTTTAAAAAGCCGCTTTTAATTAGGCGTTATAAGCTAGAAATGTAATTAAAATGTTACAACTGTGAGTGGAAATTGGTGATTTAAAGCAGTGTTTCCCAAAGTTGGGGTCAGGGCCCAAAGTGGGGTCCCGAAACATCAAGCTGGGGTCCTGAAAAGATTTTCTGAATTAATGACATTTTTGCCTTAGTTGTTACAAAGGAGTGAGGTTAGTGAATTTAAAATGGTTAAATGTAGTATACAATATATTGTTACTATGCCCATGTTTTGTTGACCTGATACAAATGTTTATATCCAAAAATAGTTGGGGGCACAGGTCTCTGCTACTGTTATTTTGTGGGTCAAAAGCTGAAAAGTTTGGGAACCACTGATTTAAAGCACTGATCTTGCAAATATTCTTGAATTTTAAGCCTGCCTTTTAATCATTACTTTCCAGCTGCTGCTTCCTGTAGTTAAATCACTCTATCGGTTTAGTTTGGTAGATTAATGACATGTTTTGTGAGTGAAAGTTGCAAACCAGTGACTTTAATGAAAAATAATGCCCATGAGGAAATTTAAAACACAAACTTCAGAGCAGACAGTGGGATAACACTTCCAAAAAGCAGCARCACAGTCGAGTCAGAATTGCTGCACTCTGGACCCCAAGGCTCAGTTTTGTGAATGGAGAGCAGGGTACCACACACACTTCCCTCCCCTTAATAACTCCCTCATCAAATGATGAAGCTGCTGCTTGTCAGTGACAGGCTGCAGCCAATCAGCAGGCCCTGATCGATCAGCGGCGGTGCCTCCTTTCGCCTTTGGTCGATCAATAATCGATCACTTACGTTGGGGTAGAGCACAGAGTCGATGTCCTCGGCCTCAGACAGCTCGCTGAGGTTTCTGTCCCAGTGGAGAAACGCTTCGCTGCTSTCCAGGATCTCCATGATGTCCTCCTCCGGCCTCCCTCACTTTATTTCCTCCAGCAGCGACACACGCCGAGCTTTCTCTGCTGCTCACAAACTCCAAACTCAAAAATAAAGTTCCACACAACTTCTGCGTGTCTGGGAGGGGAAAAAATAAACAAATAATAAAAGAAATACGAACTCACGACTCAGAAACAAGTCCAACTGGATTCAACACAAACAAATAAACGCCACATCGGATAGATTTRGGCTGGAAACTGTTTTCGTCGCTCAGTATCATCTCCGCTCAGGTTCTTGTGTGTTTTCAGAAAAGCTACACGTCCAGTTTTCTTCTTTCCTCCTCCTGCAAACCCAGACACACAGGAATGTGTGGGCGGAGACAGCTGACACACCGAGGGGGGAAACGGAGAGAAAAAAATGTCAACAAACTCAACAAGAAACAATCGTAGCGATCATTAAGAAACGATACGATGAAATGATGTTAAATACAATTTAAAGGTAAATATGACAAACGCTACGCGCCGTGGATCATCTTTTTAAGCTGTTCAGAACTCGGTTTTTGACGTTTTACGCTAAAGATGCTAAACTTCCGGTCGCAGATTTCAAAATAAAACTCAAAACAATGGCCAAAGGAAAAGTAGTTACAATCAAACGTTCAGCTAGTTAAAAAAAATGTGCATGAATATACAGGCTTCTTAACCTTAAAGTCCACAATAGAAACATATGTAAAATTATGTTAGTTTATTTACGGGTAAATTCAGCTAATTTTATTACAATTTATTTATTCCAACTGCGTCATATAAAACAATAAAAACCATCGTATCATGCATTAGGATTTGAATACAGTACCTAAAAAATGAGTTTGTTGGGAATTTATGTTTTTGACATGCATACAACTCAAATTGGATCTACACATTTCTAAATCTAATACAATTATGAGAAAAGAACAAAGTAATTTGTGGTGTCGTGTATATA